AAGATGCCACACAGAACTCAGCAAGAGTCAGCAGAGCAGTCTCAACAGGAGAAATGGTACAAGTCTCAACAGAAGAAATGGTGCAAGTCTCAACATGAGAAATGGTGTAAGACTCAACACAAGATGCCACACAGAATTCATCACAGTATGCCACACAGAATTCATCACGGTATGCCACACAGAATTCATCACAGTATGCCACACAGAATTCATCTAGAGACTGCTCCGGATGCCACACAGAATTCGTCATGGGTCAGCGTAGCAATCTCATCAGGAGAAATGGTGCAAGACTCGTTACAAGATGCCACACAGAATTCATCAAGAGTCAGCAGAGCAGTCTCAACCGGAGAAATGGTACACTTGACATCAACAATTGTCTTTCTTCTGCCGTCTTTTTCCACGCTCCCACTTCACACTTTTTGACTGCTTCTCCCAGTGACATCCGTTCAACATTGCCGAAGAAGTTCATCATCATATGTTGGGTTGAAGTGAGGTCAATCAAGTCGGGCAAACATTTCTTCATTCGAGGATGGCTCTGTGGTCGCATTCACGGGATTCTTACAAGCGATCGCTGGCAGTCGGTCTTAAGCGCAGACCCCTCTGGATGACGGATCAAATACACTTCATCAAACAAGCGTCCATCCTCTCCGACTTGGTGACGTGGCAAGAGCAAGATGGGCCAGAACTTTACGTTTCACAAGTTCCCAAAGACCCTCCTCCAAACACTTAGAGGGTGATGATGGAGGAGTGAGAAGAGGGTAGAGTGGTGAGAGGGTGGGGTAAGAAGAGGGAGGAGTGGTGAGAGGGAGGAGTGGTGAGAGGGAGGAGAGGTGAGAAGAGGGAGGAGTGGTGAGAAGAGGGAGGAGTGGTGAGAAGAGGGAGGAGTGGTGAGAAGAGGGAGGAGTGAGAAGAGGGAGGAGTGAGAAGAGGGAGGAGTGAGAAGAGGGAGGAGTGAGAAGAGGGTGATGATTGCGAAATTGGAAGAGAACGATAACGGCGGAAGGATAAGAGGATGATATTTGCGGAGTAAGGAGAGGATGATGACGTCTCCTTCCCTACTGACTTGCATGAATTACCCTCGGTGATGGATGAACTCTATTGTGATAAATCTTACGGCCCAGATAGTTTCCAGAATTACAGTGATGAGAAGCCCACCTCTGACATATAACATGGCCAATGCATACTCACAGATTACGGTGAGAATGTTTGGAACATGACTTAGTTGACATTTTTGCAGCTTTCCGTTGCCACCACCATCATTTCCCCTTTGAATGACTCATTGCGCTTGTGACGGTATGATACCCCTCAATGTATGATACTTTTATCAGAAATGATCGTTTGGTCAAGAGTGAACGTGCTTAGGTACCGCACCAGAAAGGGTTAGGCACCGTATCAGAAAGTATCGTCAGATGTATCACATTAGAGAGGTACGATAAAGGTATCCCATCAGAAACAGAGAGATCGTATCAGAGCGGTTAGTGAGAGGTATCACACCAGAGAGGAACGTGAGACCTTAGATCTGTCATGGTGTGCTGCAAGTTGTAAGCTTACGAGATGATACCGCATATGAGATGATGAAGAAAGACATTCTAGTATTTGCTCTTCGTGGATTGATCTATTACTGTACAGTGTATTTGTATGGAAGCATGGCGTAGGCGTTCTTTCTGTTGAAATTGATCAAAAGGCAAGATTCTCACTTTTGGCTTTGTTGAATATTCAATCCCAGCATGGCAGTTGATATAATTTACGTCAAAGCTCTGTATGTCCATCCTTTTTCGATTTTTCGTCCATCGCTCCCGGCTGTCGGCCAAATACTTTTTCGAGTACCTTTCTTAGATCTCCTTCGATCTTGTCCGGTAACACAACGCTATACTCGACGAACAGATCCCCGAAAGTATCCCAATCTTCACGTTTTGGCATTCCTTGCTTCTCGATTCGCTCAACGTAGCCTGGTTGCGTAACTCCTCTTCTATGCAAAGTGACGATATGATCGTCCAAATGTGTGATATTACGTTCAAAACCCAACAAAGCTTCATCCAATCCCAAAGCGATCGAAGTGTACAGATTTGCATCCCTCCTTCTAAATGCATTTTTATTCCTTTCGCTCCATAATTTCACCACAACGTCACCCGCTTCGAAATCAGGACTTTCGTCACTTTCTCCTTCGAACAATAACTCTTCACCTTCTTTTGCCCCAGGCATCACTTCTACGTCCAATTCTACATCTTCTCGTATAACCTTTGCTCCGCTGCAACGATCACATGCATGTGCGATCATCTTGCCTTTACCACCGCATTTATCACAAGTCATTTGTGCATTTGTTACGAATCCTGGCATGATTTGTTGACGAACGATTCTCACACCGGCTCCATTACAGGCACTGCATTGATGAATATCATCTCTTGATCTTGCTCCACTTCCATCACATGTTGGACAAACGGCTGAACGGTCAAATGAAATTTGAACACGTCTGCCAGTGTACATGTCTGCCAAATTGACCTTCACTTCAAATTGCTTTGTTGGACCTTTACGTACTCCAGCTTGACCGCCAAAACCTCCGCCACCTCCAAAGAAGTTTCTAAAGATATCGAAAGGATCATGACCGCCACCTCCTCCGCCTGCTTTGCCAGCTTGATGACGTTTAATTCCCTCTTCTCCGAAACGGTCATAAATTGATCGTTGTTCGGAGTCAGATAAGACTTGATAAGCTTCTGACATTTCCACAAATTCGGATTGTTTATCAGGATGTTTGTCTGGATGCAAACTTTGAGCCAATTTCTAGAAGGGGAAGGGAAATTGATCAGCAGATGGCACACGACATTCATTGTCGAAAGAAGACTACTCACCCTATAAGCCTTTTTGATCGTTCTTTCGTCTGCTTTTCTATCCACTCCCATGATTTTATAATAATCTTTTGCTGCATTCACAACGTCAGACAAAGAAGCAATGATGAGAAGAATTGCTAGGATGGAGACAAGTGACACGAAACGAAAGGAAGGTGTGCGAAATTGTGACCTTTTCTTCCGCTTTTGACATGACGATGTAGAATTGTTGACCATTTTGTTGATGTCTGTTGCTATTTCGTCATCTTTGCTGGTTGATCTCATGTTGAAGATGAGTTGAGGAAAAAGGAAAAGATGATCATTCAAACCATCAACTTTCTTCTCACAGCGCATCAAACAAATGGCGCACGAGCCTGCTTTTAGGTGTTCCGCGTATTCTCAAAGCGGCAAACCTTCAACTTTCCACGTCACAAAATAAAAACAACAAGATTGAAGCGGAGAAAGAAAAAAGAAATAAAGTCAGTCATGCCAATCATATACGGACCTTATCAACAGAATAACATTTGTCTAATTTGGCATAATCGTTTACGGGGAGAATGAATGATCACAAAGACCACGTGCAAGAATTGATTTTGATGTTAACGCGTTGAGTGCGGTTTGAATGACACTTATTATTAGCAGCCTTGTGTTCATTGAGTGCATTTTTCTCTTTCAACTTTCTTCTATTTTCCCTCTTCCATCATAAACTATCAAACCTGCTTGCTTGCATTTTTTTATTCACCTTTTTTATTGGAATAAAAGACAGCAAAGCAGAAAGAGGCAGACCACACTATCATGACTGTTCCAAGTCAATTCGCTTGGCGATCTCAAAAAGCCGTTGGAATCTTCAGCGGTGCGCCAAATTACGTCTCTTTGACAGGATCCATAGACGAATCAGTCTTGCAAAGCGCTGCTCGTACATTTCAGTATAGTCAAAATGGATCACTGGTAGCATTCGCATTCGATAATCAATGCTTGGTTCTTTCTACAAACGGATCAAGTTCTTCTTCCTCTTCGCAAAAAGATGAACAGTGCAAACCTCTTCATACATTTGACGTGGAAAAAGTTGTCGACCTTCAATTCTCACCAAAAGGTCGTTATTTGAGCACATGGCAAAGACCTTTCAAGGATGCAGAAGATAAAAATGGGAAAAATTTGCAGGTTTGGGATTGCGAATCAGGAGAATGTGTTGGAAGCTTTGAAAGAAAGAATCAACAAGGATGCCATTTCCAATTCACCGAAAATGAAGACGCTTGCCTTCGAATGGTAACGAATGAGCTGCACGTCTTTGACCCAAAAAGTATAGAAGGAAAAGGCATGATCGGTCGTCTAAAGTTGGAAGGATTGACAAGTTATGAAATTGGTCCAGGTGAAAAGCCTGCAGTAGCCGTTTTCTGCGGCGAAAAGAAAGGTGCACCAGCTTCTGTGCGTATTTATACATTGGCTTCTTTATTAACTGGCTTGAAGGAAAACCCGAATCCTACATCGCAAAAGACATTTTTCAAAGCAGATAAGATTCAAATAAAATGGAACACCCAAGGTACTGCGCTCTTATTCGCTACATCAACCGATCATGACAAATCAGGAAAATCGTACTACGGTGAAACGAATTTGTACATGATGTCAACTCGCGGCGATTTCGATTGTCGGATCGCATTGGACAAAGAAGGTCCAGTTCATGACTTTGAATGGAATCCGAATGGAAGAGAATTTATCGCAGTGTATGGTTATATGCCAGCTAAGAGCACTTTGTTCAGCTATCGCGTAAATGTGATCGCTGAACTCGGCACATCTTCTCGTAATTTTGTCGCTTTTAATCCTCAAGGTCGCCTCTTTTGTTTGGCAGGTTTCGGAAATCTGAGTGGAACAGTCGACGTTTGGGATCGCGAAAAGCTTGGTCGAAATGGGATCTCTTACGAAAACAATTCTGCCGCTAAGATATTCAGCTTCGATGCCAGCAATAGTAGCGCTTTCCAATGGTCACCTGACGGACAATTCATTTTGACGGCAACTTTATCGCCTCGCTTGCGTGTGGATAATGGTGTTCGTATTTGGCACTGTACGGGTCAATTGGTTCACGTTGATATGATTAATGAATTGTATCAAGCAAGTTGGAGACCGAGTTTGCCTTCCTTTGCTTTACAAAATTATCCTTTTCCCGCTTCTTTGCCTCCTACCCCTCCCCCTTCAGCAGCTGCACAAGCTGCTATTGAAGCAAAGCAATCCCGAGCAGTTGCTAGAACGGGCACAAGCGGTGGTGTGTACAGACCACCTGGCGCAAGAAATTTACCGCCAAGCGAGTTACGCAAGATTGAAGAAGCAGCCAATTTACCGTACAATGGCAACAGTAGCAGCAATTCTCCTTCAGCATCAGGCGCTTCAACGCCATCGGGAGCATACGTACCGCCAAACAAGGCCAGAGCTGGTGGAGCCCGTAGAACGGTGCCCGGTGCTGCTCCTGTGAGTGCGGCAAAAGGAAATCAACAACAAAACGGTACGGGAAACAAGAGGAATGCATCGAGCGGGAAATCAAACGGGAATGTGACTTCAAACAAATCCAACACGGTTAATATGGCAGCGGACATCGGAGGATTTGCAGGGGTTGAAGTACACAATGGCACCGCCGACGCTTCGATCATCAACGGTTCAGCAAAAGATGGCCAAGGCGCTGAAGGTGCATTGCCAGGCGCATTAGACAAAAAGCTTCGAAACTTGAACAAAAAGTTGAAAGCGATTCAAGAACTCAAAGAACGTCGTGATAAAGGTGAAAAATTGGAACAAACGCAATTGCAAAAGATTGCATCTGAACAAGCATTGAGAAAAGAACTTTCAGAATTAGAATAGGAAGATCACATTGATAATGATTGGATATTGTATACAATAGTACTAGATTATTTGTTTTTGTTTCAGTCAAGCTTCGATATTTAGCAATCCATTGAGAGCTTTGAGCCCTTTTGCAACTCCGTAACTTGCGCTTGCCATGTTAGATTTGGTGCTCTTATCGAATTGACCGCCAATTGTTTGCATTTCGATCAACCTTTCACAATGCTCACTTAGCTCTCGTAAGATTCTCTCTCCGTCTGCTGAAGCGGTAGCAGCCTTGGAATCGCTCATGTTTTCGTCGACGGCAGTTTGTTTTGCTACAGCTGCGGCAGCGCGAGGGATGTTGTCCTTCGAGATGGCGATGATAGAAGAGACAATCGTCGTGATTTGTGTGAGATTTTCGTGCAATTGGTTTCCTTGAGCACCTTCACGTATGGAAGAGAGTAAAGCTTGAATGCAATGTACGATTGCTTCCGTTTGTACTTCGATGTAGTTTCGTAGATCGGCCCAATAAGCCTCATTTGAATCATCTGAATTGTCCAACGAAGGAGGAAGGGGTGGTGGAATAGGAGATGCGGTAGCACTGGCGGAAAGTGTACCAATTGATGTTGATGCAGGCGTGCCGTTATGAGGAATGTCTTTGGATGATCCTTCGTGTTGTTCGGATGATGTTGTGAAGGATCGCGAACCTACCAATTCGTCATCAATACTTGCTTGTAAGCCGGAACTCACGCTACTAGAGCCGTTTCCGAGATTGGTTTTATTTCCATGGTTTGGTCCTGTAGGCATATTTGCCATTCCGTTTGATCCAGGACTTCTTGGCGTCGCATTTGACGAGAATGATGCTGAACGTGTAGAGGGAACAGCTGCTCTCAATATATCTGAATTGATCGCAGGCACAGCAGGTGTGTCCTTATCAAAAGTAGAAGAATTGTGCGGTAAATGATGACTGCTGCTGCTACTGATGCTCGCATTTCTACTTCTGGTACCGTTCATTTTCCAACTGCCTTCACCAGAACTATTCTTTCTCGTGATATCTCCGCGATAACTGACGGGCGAATAACGTCCTAGAGGAGTTCCACCTTGCCTCAAACGAGGACTGAAGGAACGATTACTCATCCCGCTTCCTCCGCCCACCGTATGATTTCCGTCACCACTTCCACCGGGCGTACTGAGCAGACGCTCTTCCACTTCACTTCCAACATTTCGTCTACGGAAATCGCTGGTCGGACTGCTGAATGCTCCGTTTGCAAGATTGCTAGAGCCTAATAAAGGCTTCAATCCATTGGGTAAAGTACCATTTTGCGTAAATGTGATTTCGAATTCGTCAACTTCCTCTTTTGTAGCTTTCCGAACCTTTACTAATTTTACAACGTCAACGATTGCTGTGGAAACATGACTTGCTGCCGCATCCAATAAGCTCACTGGCGAAAGTCCATGACTGGAAGCATGATTTCGACAAGCGGTCATCAGATTGTTCAGTGAATTTGAAATTCGTGTTTTTGCTTGGGAAACTTCTGCTCTTCCCTCTGCTGTGCCTTCTTGTTTCTTTTGTTCAAACTTGGACACATCATCAGTTACCAATGTGGCTGCCAAGATGACCGTCTTCATCGCCATCAAAACCGAACTTGGCGTCTTGGACCTTGCTGCTGATAGAAGATCGTCAATGGAACTCTGGAATGCTGTCAAATTGATATCGGCAATCGCTCCTGTTTCACTTGGTGGCATGAATTCATCCGTTTTTGGTGGTTGAACGTATAACTGTGATGTCGCCTTCAGTGTTCGCAATTCCGTCTTGACGTTCTCATACTTACGCTTGTAAGATGCAACTTGGTTATTCAAATCGCGAATGATGGTCTGATCATTTTCCTTGTCTCCCAATATTTCATCATTCCTGGTCGAAAGTTGTTTCAATTCTTCCATCAAATTTGTCACTTCTCCCCGCAGTTCTGCCACGAGCTCTTCTTGCTCGGCATAGTCACGTTGAAGAGACGTCAATTCTTCCTCCATTTGACCTTGGTTGAATGGTTGCGTTGACCTTTCATTTTCCAGTGTACGATGTCGTTCGCTAAGCTCATCTAATCGTTTCAAAGTATCATGCAATTCACTTTCTGTCTTTTGACGGTTCTCACGATGTTCCGAAATCTCGCGTTCATACTTTTGTGATTTGTTGTGGAATGATTGTCTTTTTGCTTCCAGCTCGGCTTGCAGTGCATCCGCCCGCTCCGAGTTCGCTCTCTCGAGATCATTATTCCGACTTTCAAGTCCAGAAACTTTTTGTTGCAACGTTGCAATTCGGAATTCATAATCCGATCTCAACTTCTCCACCTCATAAGACTGGAAACCTTCAGCTTGACTGCTTCGGGCTGCCAAATTTGGACTTGCAACACTTTCCGTGGCACGACTGGCTGCATACCCATTGAAGAAGCCTGTACCGATCGAACTTGCCTGACTATACATGGTATTCCGATTATTCTCTTGTTCATTTGTTACAATCGAATCACGAATACTTGCAGGCCTTTCGCCACTCGATGTTCGCGTATGTTTTTGGTCAAAAGATGAGGACGAGTCTACCTGCTCGGCTGGTCCGTCAGTGGTCGTGAAGGGCATCGCGATCTCCTCTTCTACCAAAGTGCTCTTCGCAGGAACAACCACGTCATGCATTGATGGCTGAGGAGCAAGATCAGAGGATTGCCCTTGATCAAGGATATTTGTCGGCCCACTCATATTGCCACCTTCAGATGGATGAGCAGTATGCGAAGATACATCTTCATCTCTAGCGCTCAAGATCGAATTTTGTCTTTGCCTTTGCTTTTGTGCGGCTTCTTCTTCTTCTCTCCTTTCACGCTCCGAGACCTCTGGCCTGAATTCGTCACGAAGTTCGGGGAACCTTCTTTCGAGTTCAAAGAAGACATCTGAACTCAAATCTTTAAATCGTGTTCGGGGAAGAGTAGCAAGCTTCTGTCGGGCTTGATTTCGTTTGGGATGGAATTCTTCTCGGACTGCCAAATGGGGAATTTCGGACCCTGTTCGTGCGTTTGTGATCCTTCGCATCAATTCATCGTAAACGTCGGTGGATAATTCTGTGAATTGCTGTTGACTTAATCTAGTAAGCTTTTCTCTTGCATTCGTACGCGGACCTCGTTGTCCTGAATGAGCAAGAATGAAAGGATGGAAAAGGTTAGTTTGTCTGAATTTGTTGTGATGTTCATCATGATTGGAAAACGAGCAAAGATCTCGTAAAAGGAAACAGAAGTACGCAGTACGTGCCAGCGTCACGTTCCTCTGAACCCTCATTTGGTATGGATGTGCATTTCCTTGAGAACACGGCGTTATCAAAGGTGCAAGGTCTACCCGACGAAAGTTGTTGGGTTTTATAGTTCTCTTTTGTCCAAAAAGTAGACTATTCAGTGACGAAGATGAATCCTTTGAGCAGATGGATGAAGACGAAGATGATGATGAAGGTGCTACTCCATCTACATCATGTTGCCAGCCCGCAGGGCCAAAACACATGCCTTCGAAAGTAGCATCAAAATGATCGATCGGCGAGTGCGAGATGGAAAAAGATGCGTTCGTCGACCATGGATGTGAGGATGGCAAGAGTAAGGGTATCTGATTCCCAATCCGATCGCTCTTTCAAGGTAATGTTTTAAGCTCAAAAATGAGTGCAGCATTCTCTTCATCCATCCGCTTCGTTTTAAGCAAACGCCATCACGCCTGTTCGGCGTTTATATGGAGATCTGATGTCACTTGGAACTGCACTGAGCGGCACAGAGTAAAGATAACACAGCATCTTCCAATCGGCCCAATTCGATCTGTGTGCAATGTATTTGCGTTGCTCCTTTCACAATCATGGGCAAGCGCCCCATCTTGTAGTATTCTGCCTCCCAACATTCTCACACTTTTACTGTTTCTGACACTCACCTTTTGCCAAATGGCTTTTTAGGAATTTGAATAGCTCTTCATAATGGATATGCGCCACCCTCTTGATTTCCTCAGTATCCGGGCGTTTGTGGCGCACACGTGTTGATGGTGGTTCGTTGTGATGAACGCCATTGGAGACCATTCCGTTTGCGTTGGCTATGCTACCGCCTGTCCTATGCCCATTACTACCACTTGAATAGGCTTGATTATGATTGGCGGATGGTTGTCCGTTGGGATATCCAGGATAACCCGTAGCCATTGTTCCGTTTTGATATCCCGTTTGACCAAAAGGTTGAAAAGGAGGCGAGACAAGTGTTTGAGGTTGATCGGTCGGGTGGCTGATATTGTATCTTCTTCCTCCGCCGCTAGAGGAAGAGCTTAGAGAGGATGCACCTCTTTGATGTGCAAATTGTGTGCTGTCCATAGAGTGTTTTTTCTGGATTGTATTATCTGGGAACGAGGAGGGTGGGGGGATAAGACTGTTGGTTGTTTAAGGAACACCGGATGAAAGATTAAGTTGTATCGTCATCAAGCATAATCACGTATCGATTTGGTGATTGCTTTCTTCTTCTTCTTTTCTTGCCTCTGTCCAGCAGGATATTGCGTGTGATTGCAGACTATATAACCTGTTTACACGTCCAGTTGTATCGAACAAAGGATAAGTCGACCAAAGATGAAGTTGAACGTCTTTCGATCTTGTTTGTATATGCTATGAAGGTTTAGAGTGAAAAGATTGAAACTCTTGTTAAACGCATTCACTGTTTTGATGTTGTTGTTGTTATCATCCTCTCTACCTATAGTAGTTCTCATACCTACGTGCCAAGTCTCGGCTACTTGGTCAAAATAAAATAAAATAATCAGACAGGCGCAGCAGCGGACCTATCATCGGTGCATATAAAGCAGCTTTATTGCTCTCTCCCTCCCTGATCTAAAAAAACGAATGATGCGCGGCGCCATTATAATAAACAACGTGTATGCACGCACCTGTAACACTGTGCAGATGCCTAAAACGCGACTTTTGAAATGCGGTGCCCTTGTATTTCATTAGAATGAGTGCACCGGCGGCGGAGAGCGTGCAATCAATAAGCAACAAGAGTTAGGGTTACAAATTGTAAAAGCCTCAATTATAATCTAGCGTATTCGTGCATATTACGCTCAGATCTGCTTCTTCCTCTTCTTCTTCTTCTTCTTCTTCTAATCCCCGATCATAATTGTATGCTTTGCTTCTTCAAATAGCATTCATTCATATAAATTATGTCTTCACCATCAGCTCCAATTTGTGTCGCAATCGTTGGATTCAGCGGAGCAGCGAGAACGTTTCATCTTCCACTCTTGCTCTCTTTACCTGATTTATTTCATCTACACACAATTCAACAAAGAGAAGGCTCTACTTCAGGTCCTCCAGCAGCAAAAGTATTTCCAAACGTTCGAGTCGTTTCAACAGTAGAAGCAATCTTTGAGGGTACAGAAGGCGATAAAACCGGCGCATTACCACCTCGCAGTCTTGTCGTCATTGCAACTTCAAATGAAACGCATAATCAATTCGCATTACAAGCTTTACGTGCTGGACATCATGTTGTGGTAGAAAAGCCAGCAGCTTTAACATTGACAGAAGCGGAATCATTAAAGCAAGAATCAGAATCTCGCGGTCTCGTTTGTGCTGCTTTCCAAAATCGTCGATTGGATTCAGACTTTTTGACTTTGCGTACTTTGTTGAGTCCAACACGTCATACCAAACCTAGTCTACCTTCACCTATTGGTCAACCGGTCACAGTGATTTCTCGTTTTGATCGTTACAGACCTTTTGCCAAGGGAGGATGGCGTGAAAGTGTTTCACCAGAGAAAGGAGGAGGTCTATTATGGGATTTAGGAGCTCATTTGATCGATCAAGGTGAGTATGATGGGTAGCAATTCGAAGTGAGAGAAATTGACAAATCTTCTCTTTCAACCAGCTCTGTTCCTCTTTGGACCTCCAGAGAAGGTGACAGCATTCGTCTCTTCTTCTCGTGGTCAATTACCTGCTGAAGTGGATGATGATTTCTTAGTTCATCTTCATTATCCCCTTTCCGCTCCTTTACCACCTGACAGCGAAGCACCTGCACCCGGTACACGCATTTCCGGACCAAGAGTAACACTCGGTGCAAGTTGTTTGGCAGCTCATATCAGTTCTGAACAAGTTCGTTGGCGTGTAGAAGGCACTCGTGGTAGCTTTGAGAAGCGCGGATTGGACCCACAAGAAGATCAATTAAAGGCTGGTTGGACACCTGCTTCTCATGCTGACGCTTTTGGATCGTATCATGAGCGTATTCCTGCTTCAATGCGTCTTGGCAGATTGACAACAACTATGACAAGAGATGCATCCGAAGCACCTGCAAATGATGCAGGTTCATCTGGCGCTCCTGTTCAACCTAAATTGGTTTCAAGTTCTATTCCAATGCTACCTGGTAGATATATTCAATTCTATCAAAACGTTGGACAAACGATTCGTGATGTCGAACAAGCAAGAAAGCAGGAGGGCGTAGAACCGGCAACAGAAGAAGCAGCCGAAGCAGAAGCAAACAACTTGAAAGCAACACCTGAAGTACTCAAAGCTCTAGAGAACCTATTCGTCAAACCTGATCAAGTGATCATGACGACAAAATGTATTTTGCTTGCACGCAAGAGTGCAAAAGAAGAACGTACAGTCGCATGGACAGAATGAAGTTGTATAAAACACAAAAAACAGAAATGAAAATACACTCCATCACATTGATTGCATTTTTGATTTGGGAATTACACTAGAATTGAGAGCCAAAAGTGACAGTGACCTTATTCATCACATTACCTGCAGCAATGATGCCGAACATCAAGCCAAAGAAAACAATCTGCAAACTGATTGCACCTGTCATAAACCTTGGCGTCCAAATTTTAAATAACATCAAGTGACGTCTAAAATGAGCGGCAAAGATTGCGCTTGAGAGTGTGATGACGAGATGATAAAAGATGAACGAAAGACTTGCTTGTAAAAGATGTCGAATCGTTGGCATACGTTGGATATCTGATTGTATCTGATCATTATTCCCTCCGTCTTTTGTGGTGGCTTGGTCAGTTTTTCTTGGTGTACTTGATCGTGGTTGAGGTGCTAGATTCCATAAGACCAGTAATGGTAATGACAATGCAGGCAAGAAAGCCACAGGACCAAAGCTGTTTAGAACAACCAGGATGGGCGAGAATGGATATTGGACAGAACTAAACCCAACAAAAGCGGTTCGCCATTGAATGGAAGCAAATGTAGTCTGATGTCCGGTAGCAAAGAAAGCAACAAATCCTATCAATGCCAATGTGGAAACCTCAAGCATGGTCACAGGTTTTGCAGACCTTGGCGGTTGGATTGCCTGTTCAGACTGGATTGTTTGACGTCCTTTGGACACAGCAGCTTGTTTCGCCATCTGTTGGAATTTTTGTACTTCTTGCATAATCTCACCATCCCTTTCATGATCGCCCAGCTCAGCACATGCTACCACAACAAGCATAATCAAGCTCAAAGTTACTTGTCCCATAGGCTGAGCTATCAAGAAGTGAAGAGCGAAAACAAGCGATAGCAAGATCAAGTACGATGATCCGAATGAGTTTGCAAATCCCAAGACGATGATGCGTGTAGTGGGCTGATTGCTAGCATTGTCTGCATTCTTTGCTTGTGTTGCTGGTACCACTTCTTGCTTCATTTCTAAGCACAGTGGGCTGAAGATCCAAAAGGCCAATGCGATCACAACGATCAAAGCAAAATCAGCTCTTGCTAAAGCGATCTTTGCAGTTTCCATAATCGACAGCACGCTTGACGAGTTACCTTCACTCTCACTCACCGTTCCCAACACATCCGCTGTGATGAGCCAGTCAACGAACCAATAGCCTGCACCTGCCAGAAGAGCAGGCCGTAGCATCCACGTGAAGAATAATGGAGCAACTCCACCATCGGATCGACTGGCATGTAAGGCTTGTTGTAGCAAAGCTGGCATGGCGAGAGCTGAACCATAAGCTGCCAAGATGACGATCGGACTGTTGAGAGTAGAATCTGTTTGACTATAAAATGTCGTTGAACATTGTGGCCCTTGCTCTTCTCGGCAGACTCTACTTGCAGAGGCGACCCGAATTGCAATTGCGCTTGCAATCGCTAAGATAGGCGTACGAATTTTTAATCTTGTGGTCGGACTATTCAGGTAACCTTGAATGCCTCGGTACAACAGTACAATGACTGCTAATGCTAGAACGACCTTGTCTTCTTGTACAGTAAAGCTGTTGGATGAGAATGCAATTGAGTGTAGGACAGGCAGCAAAACTCCCAAGATTGACCAATCTGAAGAAATGGTTGTCTTATTCGTTTTGTCTGATGTGTTCAGGCTTGACAATAGGCTGAATTGCGATCCCAAGACGAGACCGGCCAACACACTTTCCCAAAGTTCCAAAGTCTGGAAGATGAGCACCGGAAATGCATACAATGAGAACATCTTTCCGCCAAATCCAATCACGGCGCCGATCAAGACTCCAGGAATACTTTTCTTCACAATTTCTCCTAGCACCACCTCGACTTCTTGACTTGTAGAGAACGACTTGATTCGAATTAAGGTAAGTAGGCTCAATACCAACATCGAAAGACCGAGGACGATCTTGACATTCTCGAATTTCGCCCAAACACTCCTAGCCTTCACCAAGGCTAATCGATTGAAGTAAAGGTAAGCTTGAGCGGTCTCTATCTCCAGGTCTTTCTTCTGGCCACGAGCAGCATTGGCCAATTGAGCATCCTTTCTTAATGCCTCATACCATGCGGATCGAAGATCGTCTTGGAACGGCTGAAGATCACTCGAGACCTTTGCGTATTCATCAAAATATTTATGAATCTGTAATGCATTGATTCGTAATGCGCGAAGGAGTAATGCGGATGACTCAAATGCCTCAGGTACTACTGAGCCTAAATTGTTGAACGGTATAGGTTGACCTAAAAGTAGCGAAAGTGTTGGCACGATGTCGATCTGTGGTATACTTCGATGGCCCAATGCATCAAATGGCGGTGAAGGTAGTAGTGAAAAAGGAAGGTGCGAGCTGATAAGCGCTTCAGATTTCGAATTGATTGTCTTGATCTCTGAATCCGACAATCCTTCCAAATCCTTTTTCTTTGAGTACATCCATAAAGCCGCGCCTACCTCCAATTCTCCATCACCGCCATGATCACCCTTTTCGTCCATTCCATGATCGCCCATAAGCACGAACAGAGCATCTTCAGGTAAGCTATCGATGATGAAGTCTAGAAAGCTTTGCATTTCTTCCAATTTAGACTTCATGCGCGGATGCGATGCGCCCAATCTATGGCCAACGTGATCAACCCCGAGTGTATGCGCGATCAATAATCGCCAATCCGCCAAAGACTTTTCAGCTTTGTTCAAGAATGGCTTCAAGGTCTCTTCAACCCCTCTGTCTACACCATCGAGATCCTCAACATTGAAACTATCGAATGGAAAGCGCCATTCCTGATCAAAAATGGTTGGAAATACGGTAAGCCAAGTATCATCACCGGCCATACCCATTTTTGCTTTTTGGCCTGGTATAGATTCCGCTTTCTTACGCATCTGTGATAGCCAATTGTCTTCAGTGATTTCACTTCCGCCAAAATTTGATCCGGCGTCGATAAAGGTGGGCAGAGAGCCCGTTGTCAAGCCTTTAAGCCTTTGCAATGTGGTCGTAGGAGCATCGGCTAGGAAATGCGATAAGAAGGAAAAACTCTTTTGTTCCTTGTTCAGTTTTGCCGGCGAGTTGAGAATGTTATGATAATAAGGATTTGGTGACCAAGATTGATTATTTGAGGTATCTCTTAGGTTTGTATCGGCCAAAAAGTCAAATCGTAGAGCATCGATGATCCACATGAATGTTCGATCGTACTTTGCAGGTAAAGTGCATTCTGCTTCTTCGATGAGCGCATCTTGCCAGACTTGAAAGTCCGCATCTGAAGTGGGTACAAGTCCATTCAGCTGCGAAGGAAGAGCGAATGATGATTGTGCTGGTCTATCACACCTTGAAACACCTTCTAATGTCGTCCTTGTCAATAAGAATCCTTTTGTGAAGAGCCAAAGCGCGGCAGCTTGACTTATGAAAAGTATAAATAGGATTGCTACTGTTGAAGCTATTGGTTTGATGACTCCAGGAGGACCTCCCGGACCTTCACCGAGATGTCTTTGCCTTTCTCTTTCTTGATGCGAGGAATGTGAAGAATGAGATCCATCTGAAGCATGAGAATCCTTTCTTGTCAGATCCGGTCTTTGAGTTCCTGCAGCGTTCAAAGCTTCTGCTGTTAATTTTGGAGGAGGCGGAAGCTTAGAAGCCATCTTTGCAGATCAAGAGTGGTATGGTCAGGAACAGGCACTTTGTCTTTGACATCTGTCTTTGTTGTAAGGAGGATATGTTGATCTTTTTGTTGTTTGTTTCATTTCTTCTAGAAGCCCGTGCTCTATTAAAGCAGAGTTATAAGCTAACGTTTTGTTTTATCGGCGTTACTTACGCCAACATGCGCTGCGCTGCGTCTTGAGTATTGTAGTGCAGGGGACGCAATGATACGCGCCCGCTTTGTACGCTAAAAATAAGTCGAGAATGTGTTGCACAACTACACACTGTCACTCGCCCGCCCTAGTGCCTGTTAAAGCCAGCAGTTCTCTCAACCTCCTACTCAAGATCATACTCAACTCCCAAAGCATCTTTGTAGGATATAAATGATCCTTTTCTGACTCTTTTCCCTTTCAAACAACCATCACCGTTTATACAAGTCATGGCATTTATAGAACGAGACGATGGGTCTCAGAGTAGGAATGCACAGTTGATGTCTCTACTTAACAAAAGAGCTCAATCACCATCTGCTGCCACATTCTTCACACCTTCTCTACCTCTTCTCAATCATGATCAACCTCTATCATTAGCTTCGGGATACTTACCTGCAAGAGCACCAATCACTGGGGATCAACCTGCAAATAATGCACATTTGTACTTTGTCTTAGAACGTGCAAGACATGTAACAACACAAAAGAAGCTCATCATCTGGCTAAACGGCGGACCAGGTTGCAGTAGCTTCGATGGACTCATGATGGAAATTGGCGCATTCCGACCAGATATGAAAGGAGGACTTGAATGGACAAAAGCTGGCGGCGCTTGGAACGAATATGCCGATGTGATTTACTTGGATCAACCAGTCGGTACAGGTTTTTCATATGTTGACTCAAATGGATATTCACGCAATTTGGATCAAGCTGCAGATGAAGTGATTTATTTTCTAGATCGTCTGATAGAGGTTTACCCAGAATACGCTCGAGGAAATGGCGTAGACGTTTACATCGCAGGTGAAAGCTTTGCCGGTCAGTATATTCCATTCACTGCTAATGCTTTGATCAAAAGAGGAAATAGATCACCTATTGATCTCAGGGGTGTTGCAATCGGAAATGGTTTCATCGATCCGGTTGCTCAAAGTGGCACAGAACTGGAAATGATGGTAGAGTCGAAAGTTTGGTCAACAGATAGCGAAGATTACAGGGTGATCAAAAAAGAAGTGGACGAATGCAAAGAAGCAATCGCAAGAGGGACAAATGATATGCGTAGCGTTCCAGCTTGCGGAGGAATTTTGGCTTCGATCATCGAAAGAACCAAAGCAAGAACGGTAGGAAGGGATACATGTATCAACATATACGATGTCCGTCTGTCAGATTCAGCACCTGCTTGCGGTATGAACTGGCCTCCAACGCTATCAGCTACGTACGATTACCTGAAGAGGGATGACGTACGAAGAGCTTTGCACGTTGATTCGATACACAAGCCTGAAGCATGGGTTGAGTGTAATCATCGGGTTGGCAGTGGTATTGATAGCGATATACGAGGCAAGGCGTCAGTGATTCATTTACCTACAATCTTGGAAGCGGGCGTTCCAGTTTTGCTGTTTGCTGGAGATCAAGATTTGATTTGTAATCATATAGGAGTCGAACGAATTCCTGAAAGACTCCAATGGGCTGGTCAAGGATGGGGAGCGCCAGAAAAGAAGCAATGGTATGTGAATAATGAACTGGCGGGCTATTGGCGTTCGAATAGGAATATGACGTACGTCTCAATCGCAAAAGCATCCCATATGGTTGGTGTGGATAAGCCAGTAGAAGCTCATGATATGATGTTACGATTCATGGGCGTAGATCTGATGGATGCTGCTGGTCCAAGTGCACGTATTCCTTCTAGGCTGGAAGGAGAAACGGATAGAATATTAGTCGTCGCAGGAGGGGGTAAAAATGCCGCTTCTCAAGACAATACACCAATGATACCAGGCATAAGTGGAAAAACGGAAGCACAAGTAGCCGAAGAGGCCAAATGGGAAGCTTATTACAACGCCGGAAGTGCTGCTCTGATCGTGCTTTTGATCCTTGTTGGAGCGGGAACATGTATCTTATTACGGTTAAGGAGAAGAGCACGTTTGCATCGCAAATCTTCCGCTCCCTATCTACCTTCTGAAGAAGAAGGAGGTGAACATGAGATGGAGCGTTTCATTCAAGGCGATTTGCCAAGCGATGATAATTTAGCCGAAGAAGATAATACGACTGCCTACAGCGATGATACTTATCGATTAGACGCAACTACGGCTTCCAATACGAGGGCAAATGGTCGAAGGACAGGCGCTTTACCAGACGACGGAGCAAATTCAGACGAGAAGGGCAAAGGTAATGGAAATTCCATAGCCGATCGAGATGCTGAACAGATCTTCGATGTGGGAGATGAAAGTGATGAAGACCTTTCAGAATCTAAATCGCATCGAACAGGAGAAGCAGTTCGTTTTGCTTGAGATGGGGGTTGATTTATCATTGTTTTCTTAATCTCAAAATGTAGAATACTTTAGCATAATTATTTATCTATTATCAAACATGATACCTATTTGTACATTTTTGCCATCCTTCTCATCTTTGAGTGGGCGTTACATATGATGGGCTTGGTTGAGCGTCCGCCCTTGCATTCAAGCCACTGGCCCGCGCTGAAGAAATGATTGAATCCAACGCAGATGTTGATTGTTCGGCATTAGATTCGATCTGAGCTACATCTGCTTTTGTTCCTGCATCAATAGAAGAAGGTTGAGAAATACCGTCTCTGGCTTTGAGGGCTGCTTGGAGATACTTTTCTCCTTGTGAAACGGGCGCCCAAGTATTACGAATACGGAATCGATATTTGCGCGAAGCGGCACGTTGATCGACTTCATGTGCTCCTCCAAATAATCTCTCTGATAGGTTGTTGGTTTTTGCATAATACTTTGCACCCTCGCGAAGCTCTTCTGCTTCTTTGTGGAATCCTCTTTCTATCTCAACAGCTGTTGTACTTGGATTTCCATTAAGGTCTCGTATTTTAGCAAAACGTGCTCCATATGCTTTTGCCTCAAAAATTGCAATTCGCGAAGCATGTTCGTGTTCAGCTCGAAGAGCATAATATGTGGATAATGTGTTGTGGTATGCCTGAGACAGTGATAGTCCATGTTGACGATGTAAATGAACGACACAAGCAACCACATCTTCCGGTCCAGGATTTCGTCCCCAAGCAGTCAAATCTGTTGCATTAATATCTGGTACGCTTCTGTCAACAATTGTTTCTCCTTCGACCAGCATTTTCGGATTTAATGTTTCCCAGGGATGATCGTTATAGAATCGTTCGCGTACACGATCTTCCAAATATACAATCGGTTGTGGTCCCAATTTAGGCCCTTTTCTCCTTTCTGTTCTGGAGTCAAATTTCTTCTTCTTTCCATCTAGTTCATCTTCGAAATTCCATGATAATCCTCGAGAAGAAGGCGTATCCAATGCTGATCTTTGAACGGGCGCTCGAGAAGGTAATGGTGTAGGAGGATGATTGACCAACGTTTGAAAGGCTACTGGACTTGATTTCAGTAGGCCACCGCGTAATTGACGTGAGATGAGCTGGCCTACCTGCGTGGCAATTCTACGAGGCATTTTGAACGGATAAAGGGATGGTGATGATGATGGAGACACTGATTGATGTAATGGTATGAAAAATCGGATTAGGCTTTCTTCTTACCTGAAAATCCACGTGATCTTTGCGCGCCTTTTTAGCGCGTGCATGAATGCACTTTCCATTGCAATCAATAATTGTTCTTAATTCTTGGCCATCACATCGATCAAAATGAGTGCTAACGTGAAGCGGATGAGAGGCTTGGCAATCCATCGTGGCATATTGATCGGAAATACGGCCACACCTCTTTCAGAAGCAGAAAGGATCGTTAGTGCACCGGATCATACGCATAAATGGACAGTTGCTGTTCGAAGTGTTGCATCACATCCGCTGCCCAGCATCTCTGAGGCAGATCAACTTGGTTTAGCTTCATCCTCTAGAGGAACACATCAAAATGCAGATGGAAGTGGAGCGGGAACAAATGTAGGTGCATCTATAAGTGGGTCTAACAATGCAGAAAGAGAAGTTTCCGTATCGGGAACTCCTGCTCCTTCCACAGGAGTGAGCACGAGAGGCAGAGAAAGTGAAACAGATTATCACAAAATGGTGGGCGGCAAGGATGATATTTCACACTTCATCAAACGAGTTCAATTCAAATTACATGAAACCTATCCGCAGCATACACGAAATATTGATAAGCCACCGTTTCAAGTTACAGAAACAGGATGGGGTGAATTTGACATTCAGATCAAAATCTTTTTCGTTCCTGAATCGGGAGAGAAGCCAATCTCAACATTTCATCGGCTAAAATTGCATCCTTGGCATCCGGTTACTATTCCTGCTCCTGAGGTCGGGCTGGGTAACCCGGAAGGCAGTGCAGATGCACCGACCATCACTACTGGAGCCAATGAAACGATCGCAGATACTTCAGTAGCAGAAGGCCAGGCGGATACTACGATGGAAGATACGGAAGCAGGTCAAGATGAGACGCAGGAGGTGGCTGGTGATGTCAGTGTTCAGGAAGGTGAAACATCGGTGAGCAATATAGGTGAAGCGACCAATGCATCCATCACTGCCATCAAGAATGAAGAAACATCAACGCCAATGGTTCATGAAACACGAAGTGCAAGTGCAGCAGCTCATCCGACCGCCCTTCGACCGCTGCCATCTGTAGTTCATTCATGGGCGTATGACGAGATTGTTTTTCCAGAGCCTACGGAATCATTTTATGAAGTTCTGATAAAACATCCACCTACCCCATTACCCACACAATCCGCTCAAGCGTTCTCTGACCCAGCTTCTTTCCAACGATACAAAACTGCTTTGAGTCAATTGGATGATACAAGTGGACCACAAGGACGTGATTTACGATTGGAATCGGGTGTTCTACCGCCACATCCTCTTCATGATTCTTCTGGTGCACTTTTTGATGCACTTTCACAAGAAGCAATGCAGGCGGAAGGAGAACGATTAGATCAAGCAAGACGAAATGCGGTTCAAGAATTGGAGGAAACACGTGCTAAATTGATTGAAGGAGAACGGAAATTAAGGAGTGGAAGGCCGATCTCTGCTATTTAAAGTATGTCCTTTGTTTGTACTACTGTATTTTAATTTATACCAATGATCCATCCGATCTTCGAGGTTGTTTTCGGTCTTGGCATGTCTGCTTATTTTTCGGTGACAGACGGCCAAGCAATGCTGTGCGCCTTCTAGAACAACGGGAGGAAGCTAAAGATGTACTCTGCCAGGAACACAGTCTGTTTGTGCATACAGAAGTGAATGCCGGCGCGCTACGCTGCGCTTTGTTGCACAGCACAGTGCAGCGCAAAGCCCGCGGTCTCACGCCTTAATGCGGAAGGGGCTGTGTAAATGTAAAATGCTTCTTTTGCATTGTCATCATGCCTACGTTTGATTGAGTTTTACCGGCCCATGAATTCCATCTTTTGCCAGCAATTCCATAATGAGGACTTCACATTTCGAGTTAGAGCACGTTTGAAAGACCCTCTTTATGAATTGGCATAAAGAAAGCAAGAAAATGAAAAAAAGTCAGAACAGTGATGCGCTTTGACATGCAGGATTTATGCACAATTTCCCTGTCATGCAATTTCTTGGCAAGTCTATATTTAGCTGGTTTGCCTGTAATTACTGCCAAGAATCATTTTATGCAGTGCAAAAAGTTGTATGCGTGTTGAGTGTGTGTGCGTGCGTGCGTGCTCGTGCTAACAATACTTCTCCACCGCTCTCTTCTTATTGTTTGTTGTCCATCCTCAAGGAAAAAAGGAGGCAGCCAGCCAATCTTGCCTCTTTCTTTCTTCTGCGCCTCATCTTTGCTCATCACAGCCCTTGTCACCGCCTTGCCTTCGCGCCATAAAAGGCTGGATGTACGCATTCAATTGGGCGTACCTGATTGATGCATTCTGAAAATCGTATAAGAATATCAAAGAAGCGGCTTGCAATTCACTTACAATTCCCATTTCGCATACCGCTCACTTCATATTAATCCTTTGGTCAACCGATTAATATATCAAACATCTTAACTTCCAATTACTCTGACATATGGATACAAGACGATCATAATACAACAAGTCGGCGAATGCTTTCTTTGCATTCGTGAAGAAAAGAGAGACTCACACTTGCTGTTCCTTCTTTTTTGCACTGCCACTGCTATCAAAAACGTCAACCTTTTCTTCTAATCTTACACAAGTGTCAACAGGATGAGTGGCACACCAACCGAGAAACCGGCTTTGCCAACAATCATCACAACGGAAATGTCGGCCGATGATGATAAAAGGTCAAATGTTGAACGAGAATCAGAGGCTACCAATATCGAATCTCCTAATTCAGCTTCTACTATTCAGAAACAAGACTCGGCGCATACACTCAACAAACATCGGAGAAATGAAAGCTTACAGGTTCCCGGACAGACTGGAGCAGGTGATTCTAGCACGCAGAATAATGCGCCTGCTTCGCCAACATTCAGCGCTCATTCAGACTTTTCCGGTTCTGCAGATAGTGCATCTGCAACAAATATTCGAACAGCCTTGGCTTTACGTGATAACGATCCTTCAGCAGCACATCATGCTCATCTACGTCAAGCAAGCATTGCATCAGCCTTTACCGATATGAGTGGTGATTTGACGCATGCAAGATCAAATGATCAGGGTAACATCCAATCTTCGAAAAATCAAAGCGCAACAATCTCAACGAATGCTTCTCGCGATGACCACCTCAAAAAGGAGAAAGCAGAAATTTCAAAAGAAGCAGATGAAGAGATTAAACAGAATGCCTCTTGGTGGAAAAAAGCAAAGGCAAACTTTGCAGGAGCAACGAGGGCAGGTCGTTTAGCCGCTCAAGCACAAGAGATGCAAGCTTTGAAAAAGAGACAGAGAGAGATGGATCCTACACCTTTCCGTATCCGTCCGATCGAGCTTGCCGAGCTTGTTGATCCAAAGAATGTGGGTCTATTGCGTGATCTAGGAGGCGTACAGGGCCTTTTGGCTTCTTTGGGCACCGATGCCGAAAAGGGTCTTGACCTTTCCTCAGGAACAGGGGTTAAAGAAGACACGATCGAAGCAAAAGAGCCCAAGAAAGAATTAAGGGATGAAGATGATTTAGAATCAGGCGATCATGAGAACGAAAAACAACCATCAAAATACCCATTCGTTCATGCAAGCTCTGAGGACCGCAAACGTGTTTATGGTGCAAATACTTTACCAGAAAAGAAGAGCAAGAGTTTGCTACTTTTGATGTGGCTTGCATTGCAGGATAAAATCTTAATCTTGTTATGTGTTGCTGCGGTCATTTCTTTGGCTCTTGGTCTTTACTCTGATTTCGGTGCTCCGCCCGAATTTGTTGAATGCAGCAATCCTCCGCCTGGTCAAGAACAATGCGAATTACCAAACGTTGATTGGGTTGAAGGTGTTGCAATCTTGGTAGCCGTTGTGATTGTTGATATCGTTGGTTCTCTGAACGACTGGCAAAAAGAACGTCAATTCAAGAAGCTAAATGCTAAAAAGGAAGAAAGAGACGTAAAAGTCATTCGATCAGGAAAGCGTGCTTTGATGAACGTTCACTATGTTCAAGTTGGAGATATCTTGGAAATCGAACCTGGAGAAATTTTGCCTTGTGATGGTATCTTTTTACGAGGTCACAATGTCAAATGTGATGAATCAGGTGCAACAGGTGAAAGTGATATGATTCGCAAAGTATCTTATGAAGAATGTCTTGCCGATCTGGAGAAGCATGAGAGCACAGGCGAGAAGCTTCCACATCGAGACTGCTTCATGATCTCCGGATCACGATGTATGGAAGGTGTAGGAGAGTACGTCGTCATTGCTGTTGGTCCGACAAGTTTCCACGGTAAATTGATGATGTCTTTGCGTTCCGATAGCGAAATCACGCCACTACAAGCAAAGCTCAACCGATTGGCAGAAATCATCGCTTATGCCGGTACAACTGCCGGTGTGTTGCTCTTCATTGCCCTGATGATCAAATTCTTCGTTCGTTTAGCCAAGCCATTGCCAGATTCACCTCATACACCTGATGAGAAAGCACAAGCATTCATCGACATCCTGATCGAAGCAGTTGTGATCATCGTTGTCGCCGTTCCCGAAGGTTTGCCTCTTGCCACAACTTTGGCGCTGGCATTTGCAACCAAAAGAATGACAAAGGAAAATCTATTGGTTCGTCTTTTGTCAGCTTGTGAAACGAGTGCAAATTGCAGTGTCATTTGTACTGACAAGACTGGTACATTGACCTCAAACGAGATGACAGTTGTGGCAGGCAGCGTTGGTGTTCACTTGAAATTCGCACGGGATATGAATGAAAATCAAGGAAGAGTGGAAACACAAAAAGCTGGAAATGAAGCAGCCAAAAAGACAACCAAGACGAGCGGTGATTGGGCCGTTGAACAACGTGAATTGAGCTCGGTAGTTGATGGTCCTCTCCGTACACTGTTCAATGACGCTATAGCCGTGAACTCTACCGCATTCGAAGAAGACGAGAAAGCTCGCTCGATCCGTGAAGGCGCCAAGAATAAGTCCATTTTTGGCAAGATCTTACAATCTATCCCCTTTATGGCAACGAAAGAAAAGGATGACAAAGTCAATGCTTCTACATTTGTTGGTTCCAAGACAGAGACTGCTTTGCTCAAGATGTCAAAAGAATTGAATTGGGAGAGCTATCGGGAATCGCGTATCCGAAATGAGGTTGTGACAAACTTCCCTTTCAGCTCTGAGCGCAAAGCAATGGCAGTCGTTGTCAAGAAACGCGAAGGAGGATATCGTTTATACGTCAAAGGAGCAAGTGAAGTCTTGACAAAGCTGTGCAATTCACACGTTGAAGTTCAACGAGGATCGTCTTCAGGGGATATTGATGTCAAACCATTCAATGATGATACCCGCCAGAATGTGGCAAAAACTATCATTTTCTATGCGAATCAAATGTTGCGTACTTTGGCAATTTGTTATAAAGACATACCCGAATGGCCACCAAGAGATTCTCAATTTGACGAAGATGGTTTGGTCAAGTATGAAGGTCTTGCCTATGATTTGACATTAATATCAATTGTTGGTATCGAAGATCCTTTACGTCCCGGTGTACGCAATGCAGTAGCAACATGTTCCAAGGCTGGTGTTCAGGTAAAGATGTGCACGGGTGATAACGCATTGACTGCTCGTTCGATTGCAACACAATGTGGTATCTTTACTCCCGGTGGTATCATTATGGAAGGACCAATGTTCCGTCAGTTGAACGATTTCGATATGATGCAAATCGTTCCCAGATTACAAGTCTTAGCCCGCTGCAGCCCCGAAGACAAAAAGACGTTGGTCGAATGCTTGAAGCGCATGGAGCACGTTGTAGGTGTGACGGGAGATGGAACAAATGACGCCCCCGCTTTAAAGACTGCCAATGTCGGTTTCAGTATGGGTATCGCCGGTACAGAAGTTGCCCGTGAAGCAAGTGACATTATCTTGATGGATGACAATTTCGAATCGATCGTTACTGCAATCATGTGGGGTAGAAGTGTCAACGATGCCGTCAGAAGATTCTTGCAATTCCAACTTTCAGTCAATATTGGTGCTGTTGGTGTTACATTTATTACTGCAGTCGCGGACAGAGCTGTTTTCACTGCCGTTCAATTGTTGTGGATTAATTTGATCATGGACACCTTGGCTGCTTTGGCATTGGCAACCGATCCTGCTTCACCCGATCTTTTGGATAGAAAGCCAGACAAACGTACAGCACCTTTATTGACAACAGATATGTGGAAGATGATTATCGGACAATCCATCTATCAATTCGCTTTGATCCTAACACTCAACTTTGCAGGTGATTCCATTCTAGGCTACAATCGTACCGATCCTGAAGGCAGAAGAATTCAAGATGAAATTTTACGTGCATTGATCTTCAATGTGTATGTGTTCTGTCAATTGTTCAATCAAGTCAATTGCAGAAGTTTGACTCGAAACCTAAACATTTTCAAAGGCTTACACAAGAATGTTTGGTTTATGGGTATTATGGCCATTGAAGTCGGATTGCAAGTTTTGATCGTTTACGTTGGTGGTGCCGCATTCAGTGTTACGAAATTGGACGGAACCAATTGGGCAATCACTGTTGTTGCAGGTTTGATTTCTTGGCCAATAGGTGTATTGATCCGATTAATCCCTACCAAACCTATCGATTTGATTATGATCAGATTCGGATTGATGCCCGATCCAGAAGCATTGCCAAAGCATAAGCGTCGTTCGCCAACAGAAGTACAAGCTGATGCCGATCAAGTGGATTGGGATGCACCTGTGATTGGACAATTGGCCCAAAAGTTGGGTGCATTTGCACGTATTCGCGGTGGACGTTCTCGATTGGCATTTATGGGTAAAACCAGAAATCAAAAATTACGTGAAGCAGAAGTTCATCCGGGTAATTTGATGGCTTTGGTTCCTGCTTTGATTGGTGCAGGTATTGTGGGCAATTGGCATCCATCTAATCCACCTGAAGCAAGTAGAAGTGAGCCGGCAGCCGGAGATCCAAGCGTTTCATCTTGGCAATTATACCAAGGAGGAAAGATTCAAGTGCATCCTGAAACTTCTCCCGATGATGAAGTTTTAGAAACACTAAAGGGTCATAGAAACATGAAATTCTCAACAGCAAAGTGAGATAACTTTCCCATTATAGATTCTCTCTTATTTCAGTATTATTATCATTTGCATTCACTTTAATCACTGTAAACATTGTATATTGTATACCTCCTCTTTATTTATGAAGAATATGATGAAGAACTTATCATTCTTGCCTGCTTTGTGGAAATGAATAAAGTTTAGAGCCCTTGACAGCTCATCACCTTTTAGAGAGTGTGTGTGCACAGATCGAACCATGCATTTCCCAGATCTGATACCCTGTTCTAATGTGATGTGATCCACTTTTTAGCTTATGCTATTCGCCGTATCAAATTGCTTGGCTCGGGGTGTAAGAACGGGGAAGTTAACCCCAGCCTACTTCGGGCGGATGCATGCATGAATACGAGCGTGTGGCATGAAAATGAGGAGAGGATCAATTTATAGACCGGTCTAGCGGCTAACACACCGCGGCTAAGATTGCGTGCCTTGTATTGCGCAGCACCAGCACTCTTTCCCTATGATTTTTGTTGCATTTTTTTTTCTTCTCCTGCGCGCACAGTACGTAATGGGCTCCTGCTTGTGAGTGTGTGGGTTAATACGCTAGGTTTCCCTTTTTTTTCCTCTGCTTACTCCTCTTCTTGACCTTTGTCGACACTTCTTATGTGCATTCGCTGGTCTGATCACTTCTTCTGATTTGACCTTTATTGCGAAAAAAGGACAGGGACACAAAACAGAAAAAGACGGAGTAGAAGAGAGGAGCTGTGTACTCCCCTCCCTATTCATACTTTTGCTGTCATTCTTGGGATTGATTCACTTCAATTTCCCTCAAATCCCCGCACCTTTCTTACCTCTATCCTTTTCGACCACCATCACGCCTGTAACCAAGTGATCGAATCAAAAGATTGTTTCTGTTACTCTTTTTGCAGGCGTTTACAATACGAACAATCACACTCTCAAACCTTCCTTCTTTTTCTTCCCTTGATACTTGACCATCATGCGTGCTTCAATGATCGCACGCAAGGCTGCACCCGTGTCCTCATGGACATTGGCAAACGGTGCACGTATTCCAAAGATCGGTTTTGGTACTTGGAAGTTGAACAAAGAACAAGCACATGCATCTGTAACCCATGCTCTTAAGACTGGTTATCGTCATATCGATTCTGCATGGGCATACAAGAACGAAGATGCAACCGGAGATGCAATTCGCAAATCTGGAATCGATCGTAAAGATTTGTGGATCACAAGTAAACTTTGGAACACTTTCCATGGCGATAAAGTTGAAGCAGGTCTAGATGCAACTTTGCAAGATTTAGGCGTTGATTATTTGGACTTATACTTGATGCATTGGCCTGTTGCCTTTTCCAATCCGAACACATCACAAATTTCATCTCTACGTTCCGTTTCGGGTTATCCAGTCGAAGAAACAAAGTTATCACAAGATATAGCTGCAACATGGAGACAAATGGAAGAAATGGTGAAAAAGGGCAAAGTTCGCAGTATCGGTGTTTCGAATTTCAACATTCGTCGTACAGAAGAATTGTTAAAGGCCACAACCGATACTAATCCAGTTATCAATCAGGTAGAAGTTAACTTTGGAGTTCCAAACACTGAATTATTGCATTATAGCGAAGCCCATCAAATCATGTTGCAATCATACTCCACTTTGGGCTCCCACATCAACCAGAAGAAGTATCTGGAAGATCCTATCGTGAACGATGTGGCAGGACGTAACAACATGACCCCAGCACAAGCTTTGATTGCATGGCCTTTGGCTCGTGGTATCGTACCTTTGACACGCAGTACTAACCCTGCTCATATTGAAGAAACATTTGCTGCTGCCGATAAGGAATTAGCATGGGAAGACGTGGTTCACCTTACCGAAGAATCACAAGCAAGACCTATCGAGAGATCCGTCAACCCAAGCGAATCATGGAATACCGAAGAAGATATCTTTGAAGATTACAAAGATCAATTAATGCTTAACTCTCTTAAGACAAACACTTTCGAGGCTTCCCGACCACATGAAGCTGACGGATCTCATTACTTTGAACCCCGTAATGATCCAGAAGCACCTGAGCTCGGTCCAGGTGGAACTGCTGTGCGCAAGATGCACACTGCTACTTCGCCATTTGCACGTTCTTCTAGACCAACAGTCTCTCAGCAATTGATGCGTGGAATGCGCTCAGGCCGTGCTCCTTTCTCCACTTCAGCAACAAGTCAAGCAACAACCACCACATCGAGTGCGGTAGAATCTGCACCACCCGCAGCTGAAGAAATTCCAATCGTTGGTCAAAGTGTTTTGCTACGCAATAATGCAAAATCAGCTTCTCAAACGCCTGGTATTAAATGGACCGATGGCGAGGAGGGAATTGAAAGACAGGCTCGCAAGATGAATATGTATACGGTATGTAATCAACGATCGCTGTCACAGCAGCATCGTGCATTCTCTTCTTCGTCTGTTGCCCGTGCTACTCCAGTCTCAGCAGAATCTTCCGGAGCTATTGCTTCATCTTCTCGTCAACGTGTCTATCCTGAACGCAAAGCATTCTTGTTTGGACAATACAAACGTTTGCTGAATGACAGCAAAGTTTCAATCTTGTTTCAACACAACAATGTTGGCGTTCATGAAATGACACGAATTCGTAATGACATCGCCGCTGTGCCCGTTGATGGTGCAGACGAGAAAAAGGCTCGATTGACCATCGTCCGAAGCGGTTTGATGCGCAAATTGGCAAAGGTGTCTAGTCATCCTTCTTTGCGAAAGAACGAGCATTTGTTCATTGGGCCGATTGCTATGTTGACGTTTGATACTGTTTCGCCAGCGTACATCAGCCGTATTCTTTCGGTGGCCGATCGTGCCTTGAAAGCTGGACGAGTGGCACCCAAGCCTGCATTGGGACAACCACACGTGAAAGTTGTTTCCAATGTGAACACCCGTTTCACACCTTTGGCTGCCATTGTTGAACAAAGCGAAGGTGTGAAAAAGGTGGTTGACATTCCAAGCTTGCGCGATGTATCTGCATTGCCAACATTGGATGTCTTGCGCAGTCAAATCGTTGGCTTGCTCAGCGCCACACCTGCTCGTTTGCTCGCTACATTGAATCAAGCAAGAGGAGGTCAAGTCGCTTTGACTTTGGATGCACATCGTCGTGCTTTAGACTCCTCTTCTTCATCGGCAGAGCAAAGCGGATAGAAGGAGATTCGAATCCTTTTTCTCATACAATTTCTTCAGCACATCATTCCATTTAATATACATTATGTCTCTATTCTCTATTTCCTTCTGCAAACGAATCGAGCGTGTGCAAACCCTCTCTCATGATCATGCCGCGACTCCATGTATCCTGACTATATGAAATCAATTATACTGATACAAACCATCTCTTTCTTTTTTGCGTTTCCCTTTACAGGCAATTCGTGATGCTCAATCCCATGCGTTGGCCTCTGATGAATCCACCTTGGTATTCGGAGAAGATGTTTCGTTTGGTGGTGTGTTCCGTAGTACGATGGGCTTAGTAGAAGAGTATGGCCGTGAACGTGTTTTCAATACACCTTTGACCGAACAAGGTATCGTTGGTTTTGGAATCGGGGCAGCAGCAATGGGACATACAGTTATTGCGGAAATTCAATTTGCCGATTACATCTTTCCTGCATTTGATCAAATCGTTAACGAAGCGGCAAAATATCGATTCAGAAGTGGAAATCAACATAATGCAGGCAAATTAACCATTCGAAGTCCTTGTATGGGTGTAGGGCATGGTGCACTTTATCATTCTCAAAGCGTTGAACAATTTTTCATGCCAGCTGCAGGATTGAAAGTCGTCGTTCCTCGTTCGCCTATCCAAGCAAAAGGATTATTATTGGCTTCCATCCGAGATGAGAATCCAGTTGTATTTTTAGAACCAAAGATCCTTTATCGTTCAAGTGGTGAGTAGCATATAGATCATTGTTATGACAAAGACGATTTGACACTAACTCTCTTTTCCAACAGTCGAACATGTTCCTGTGGATGACTTCACTATCCCTCTTTCCACTGCTGAAGTTTTACAACCAGGTAAAGATATCACCCTTATTTCATGGGGAGCACCTCTTTATTCATGCGTTCAAGCAATGGAAATGCTCAAAAATCCACCAGCTTCAATCGCTCAACATGTCCCGCAATCGGTACGCAATGCATCAGTCGAATTGATCGATTTACGTACAATCTTACCGTGGGATCGTAAGACAGTGGCCGAAAGTGTTGCAAAGACTGGTAGATGCGTTATCGTTCATGAAGCTCCAATCACTGCAGGTGCAGGTGCAGAAATTGCTGCACATTTACAACAAGCTTGCTTCTTAAACTTAGAAGCACCCGTTCGTAGAATTGGTGGTTTTGATACACCATTCCCACACGTTCATGAAACATGGTACAAACCAGGACCCATCCAAATTATGGACGGATTAGTACGCAGTTTGACGTACTAAAAATATTTTTTGTAATTAATTTCTCTCTAAATGGAATCCAAAGGAATGTTCAGTCATTTAAGGCCTGCCTTTTACCTTCTACTTGAGTATCCTGTACACGCAAGCGTTTTCGTCCGATCAAGCTCAATTGATTGTACAAGATCTACGTACATCTGCGATTATCTACTTCTCTCTCTAATGATGATGTTCGACAGATCTCTCGTAGCGTAATCCGCTGCAGGAATAGAGAAGGGAGAAAAATGTCAGTGAATGCTTTCATGAATATCTGCCATTCCACATACCAATAAGGACATCCTTTCGGGCCTGGCTTATCCAAGTTGATAAATACGCGAGGGTGACCTAGAGGTCCATCTCCTCCATCACATTCTATAACTCGGCTCGTTGTCAATCTGATGGGTTCCCTTTGAATCATTTCCATTGCACTCAAAGGTTGAGGTTGATATTCTGTTGTTATTTGTTCAAATCTTGGTCCACGCATTGCCAATTCACGCGGATTTTGCGAATCAGACCAAGTTGACGGATAATTTGGTGCTTGATCTGTTGGAATTCCGGGTGGCGTATGTGGTTGAGCTACATCGGTCTTTTGTGTTGGTTTTGGAAGATTTTGAGATGCTTTTGTTGATGGACGTGAAAAGAATCCTGAAGGTACAGATGGCATTGCAACTTTGCTGGATGAAACGAATGAACGAGTGACAATGGATGTGCTCTCGCTCCGTAGCATTGTACGACCCATACGGGCGCACATCATTGTTCCGTTTGACATCATCTTTGGGTTATGATTGTGATCGTCTGGGGGATCAGTGTACACCACCTTGCGCTGATCTGTGTATGATGTTCCATACGCCCGTGTCCTGCTTAAGTAGCGCCTCTCAAATCCAATGTCCAATGGCTGTTCGTCCTTTCAGAATACACGTGCAATAATGACCTCGCTCGCCAGCTTGAAATCCGTACCAACACGTCCGCGCCCGCATATACGCTAAAGTGAACCGGATCGCTTCCCTCTTCCACGCATTTAAACGTTTTGTTTGGCTGGCAGAGACACACACATAGAGAGAGATTAAGCTGCGCCGCCTAAAGGGAATACCAATGCATTGACGTGTAATGCTTGCTGTGCTTGTGCTTGTGTGTGTGTGTGTGTGCTTTGACCCGCTATGGCAATAATTAGAAGGTCCTTCGCGCCTCTCTTTCATTCATCAGACGTGCAGTACGCGTGTCTTTAGGTTTGATCACCTCCAACATCATCACATAAGAAGCCGTATTCTAACACGCTTTAAACAACAATCTATTCAGCTCATCTAGATTGTTGCTGATATCCCACGTCAATCATAGAACGGTTCAACAATCTGTGACAGAAAACCAAGGTTCTTCTCCGACATCTTTTCTGAGAAGTACTCTTTCGCAAATCATTCGATCGTCACTTTCTTCTGTCATCGTCAAATACATTCTTAACAGCTGCGGCTGGCCCGCCAAATTCAACTTTGAACAGCAAAGATGCGTTCTTACATTTCTAGAACAGCAACCTTTGCTTGGTCACCATCCAATATCCCAAATGCCGAACCTTTGATCGTAACAGGAACGCTTTCAGGTGCATTGGACGAGAGTTTCAGTAATGACAGCTTATTGGAAATTTGGAAGCCAAACTATGGCGCAGGCGAAGTTGTTCAACCGATCGCTAAACTTGTTGTCGGAGCACGATTCAACAGGCTAGCATGGGGATACGTTTGTGAAAAGTATCCGATGGGTGTGATTGCAGCTGGACTGGAAAATGGCGAATTAAACCTATGGGATGCCAAAAAGATGATCGATGGCGTCACGGATGGAAGTGCTAGCGTTCTGAGAAACAATCAACATTCTGGACCAGTCAAAGGTTTGCACTTTAATCCCAAGCAGCCCAATTTACTCGCAAGTGGTGGTGTGAATGGTGAAATCTTTATCTGGGATCTCAGTAATCCTGGTAAGCCATTCTCACCCGGTGCACGCTCATCAAAATTGGACGAAATCACCGCACTTAGCTGGAACGGTGAAGTACCGCACATCTTGGCAACTTCCAGTAGCTCAGGCTATACCGTCGTCTGGGATTTGCGCAACAAGAAAGAACTAACCGCCTTGGCATACGGTGGAGGTGCTGGCACAGCAGGAGGGAACACAAATGGAATGGCTCCCGGCGGTCCTTTAGCTAGTGGAGCAAGAAGAGGAATGGGTGCTTTATGCTGGCATCCTGAACAACCTACTCGTTTGGCCACTGCGAGTGATGACGATGCCTCTCCTGTGGTAATGCTCTGGGATCTGAGAAATTCAAGAGCTCCTGAAAAAGTTCTCTCAGGTCATAATGGCGGTATTCTGTCTCTCTCATGGTGCAAACAAGATGCGGATCTATTGCTCTCTTGTGGTAAGGATAACAGAACAATTTGCTGGAATCCGCAATCCGGTCAAAATGTTGGAGAACTACCTGCAAGCCAAAATTGGAGCTATGACGTGCAGTGGTGTCCCAAGAATCCAAATTTAGTCGCAGTTGCCAGCTTTGACGGTAGAATCAACATCAATTCAGTGCAGGATACAAATCAACAAGAAACTCCGATAGATACATCTGCTGCACCTACTGATGTCAATGACGTCTTTAACTCATTGCCCGCACAAAGTGAAGCAAACAATCGAGGAATCTCGCTTACGCAGCCACCGAAATGGCTCAAGAAACCCATCAGTGCAACATTTGCATTTGGAGGCCAGCTTGTTTCCACCAGTAACTTGCCAGGGGAGAAGGGACACACACAAAGTGCAGTCGTGCATCTTCGTGATGTTGTCACTGAGCCATCAATTGCAGCGCGAGCCAAGAGACTGCAAGACGCAATTGATTCACAAAGCTTGGCTTCCTTCTGTGCCGAGCGAAGTAGCGATCCTTCAACAAGACCAGATGATGTAGCCAATTGGAAAGCGTTGCAAACACTCTTCCAGGCCGACAATCGTGATGAATTGGTTACCCTACTTGGATTCTCTAAAGAAGAAGTTGCTGCCAAGATTTCAAGCTCAATTGGAGCATTCAAGCAGACGTCTGCTGTAACAGCTCCTGGACTCAGTGCTCCTGGTACACCAGGTCTCAATGGAACATCTGAAGCTGCTTTAGTGAACGAAGATATTGCATCAACTGCAAATGCAGTCATTCCTGGATTGGACGGTGACATCAATGCAGACAAAACACCTCCTGCCACGGCAGGCTTGGCAGATGTTTCCGCACCAGCTTCAGACATTGCTGAACCACCAACAGCTTTTGACTCTGAACCCAATCCGTTCGATGCTCAACAAAGCAGTGGTGGTGATGCTGCCGATCTGTTCAATTCGCTAGGATCTGCACCCGCCAAATCAGCCGTCCCTGATCATTTGTTTGCTGGCACTACAACGGGTCCTACCGCATCCGTGGCTGCAACAGCAGGATCGCCGAGACCATCCTCAATCGCTTCTGAAAGTCTTCGTGCAAATAATTTCAGAATTTATCCTGAAAATGAGTCAGAATTTGACAAGCTGGTCACTCGAGCTTTGGTCCTTGGCGACTTCCAATCTGCTGTTTCTTTGTGTCTATCAACAGATCGTCATGCAGATGCAATCTTGTTGGCCGTTCGTGGTGGACCGGAATTGTTGGCACGTACACAAAAGGCCTACTTTGAACGTAAGACGGCTTCTTTGCCTTACCTACGTTTGTTCCAGAGCATCGTTAGCGACGATTTGTCAGACATTGTTCAAAATGCTGATTTGACTGAATGGCAAGAGATCTTTGTCGTCATCTGCACTTTCGCCAAGCGCAACGAGGACTTTGTCAACCTTGCCGAACAGCTCGGTCAACGTCTCGAATTCCAATATACTCAAACGCAAAATAGCACCTCTGGAAAGACTTTCCGTAAGAACGCGGTATTATGCTATTTGGCTGCTGGTAAACTCGAAAAGGTTGCATCTATGTGGATTGACGAAATGAAGGAAGAAGAAAAGGCATTGCAGCATGGTCAAGTGAATGGAACGTCAATAAATGCTGAATCAACAAGCTTATACTCTGCTCATGCAGAAGCATTGCAGTCATTTATGGAGAAGATTATCGTATTCCAAAGTGCAGTGAATTATGTCGATGTGGATATTGCTCAAGTTGCTTCAAGTGAAGAAATGGCTGCAGCACGAACATACAAACTAGCACCTTTGTACGATCGCATTCTAGAGTATGTTGACCTTTTGGCAGATCAAGGATTGGTTGCTCCTGCTCTCAAGTACATCAATCAAACACCATTGGACTATCATGTCGGAACAGAAAATATCAGCGGATTGGCTCGCGAACGTTTACGTCTTGCCGATCAAGCAAAGACAGGCGGTCAAGGAGCTGCTGCCGTTACCGCTGCTGCCAATAACTCTGCTTCGGTATTTGCAGCCGCTGCTGCTGGAGCTCCAGTCTCTACAAATGCGTATGCCCCCGCAGCTGTTAATAATACTGCTGCATCGTATGATCCATACGGTCAAAGCGTCAACTCTGGTTACCGATCGTATGGAGCAAGTAACACATACGATCCATACGGTCAAGCATCTGCAAATGCTGCTCCCGCTCCATCTGCATATGCACCTCCAGTGCAAGCCAATGTTCCACCAGCATTGCAACAACAACCGATTCAAAGTCAATCAGCCTATGCTCCTGTTCAACCTTTGGTAGCCGCACCACCGCCACCAGTCATTGGAGCTCCAGATGTGCAGTCCAACTTTGCTCCACCAGCAGGATCGTATGGTCATCAATCTACGCTAGCAGCTGCTCCACCGCCACCACCGCCAAAGAAGCCAGATGGGGGGTGGAACGATATTCCCAGCAATTTGGCTCCTAAGCGTACAACAAGTGCAATGAGTAACAAATCATCAGCTCAGCCAATCACCAGTCCATTCCCAAATGCACCTGCATACAATAATGCAAGTTCTACGCCTCCAATGCAACCTTCTTATGGTGGCGCTCAACAAGGTGCAGGCACGGGAGCTGTTCCACCTCCACCAAGAGGTATTCAACCGCCTCGTGGAATGATGAGTCCACCTCCAGGAGGTGCTGGCGGACCTTACGGTAGACCTGGATCTGGTCTTGGAGCACCTTTTGCGCCTCAACAACAGGGAATGCGTCCACCACCACCACAAAATGCTGGACCACCTCCAAGAGGTAGCACACCGGGCGGAGTACGACCAGGACCTGGTGGAGGACAGCCGTCATACCAACAATCACAGCAGCCACCACAACAAGCACAAAGTGGACCTTATGCACCCGGACCTGGACAAGTCTCCGTTCCACCACCACCTGGACCTCTTGGACCTGGTCAACAATCTGGATTTGGCGGTCCGATGGGTCAACAACCACCACCTTCACAATATGGTGGAGCTCCGCAACATCAACAAGGACCACCAGGCAGCGGATTTGCTCGTCCTCCGATGCCTGCAATTCCACCTTCAGGTCCACCCTCAAATGTGCCTCTTCGATCCACGACACCCGGTGCAGGAGCAGGTGCACCTCCGAACAGAAGTGCAACACCTGCCAAACCAGCGACCAAATATCCACCAGGCGATCGCTCACATATTCCCGATAATGCAAAACCGATCTTGCAAACCTTGTCAAAGGAATTGGCAAGATTCAAATCTATCACGCCACCTGCACAAAAGAGAATGGCCGATGATGTGGATAAACGTGTAAATTTGTTGTTGGATTTGCTCAATTGTGGAACTTTGGATGCTCGTACGGTTCAAGCACTGATTGGAATTTGTCAAGCGATCGATGCACGTAATCAACAAGCAGCATTGTCGCAATACGTTCAATTGGCGTCTTCATCTTCTGGTGATGTGGCAACAGCCTTGTTTGGATTGAAGCAAGTGATTTCCAAATTGAACCAATAGACAAAGTCGTTTTAAATTATAATCAAGATTGTTTCCACTTGTATGCCTTATGTGTTGTTAAGAGATGCGGTAAAATGAAATACGAAAAAGTTTCCCTACAGAATCGTCCTCAATGTTTGAAATATGTGAAACATTAAAATTACAGATGCATATTGTAGAGCAAACATATGACAAACAGGGTATCATACAAATACAGCGATGGCGTAGTATTCAGCCAAAGACCAACTCTTCGTCGAATAATTCGATGAACTGTAAAAGCAAGAAAATAGGTTAATGAATGTTCAACCATGCTTGCTTTTGAGAGAGACTCACCTGTTCGTTCATCACGCGAACTTTTTGTCCAGCATACCTTCTATATTCTTCCAGAATGGCGGACAAGCACCATTTTTGCAATTTACGCAAACATCCAATCACTGTTCCTGTACGATGTCTGCCTAGATTGCACATTACCAAAACCGGATACGTTGATGGTTGAACGAGCAGATGAAGGGCTTTTAGCACAATATCTTCCGTGATTGGATCCCAAGAATTTGTGCTGTACAAAACGCCAAGGTGATGCAACTTTATCTCGTGAGAGAGACAGAAATCGACGCTGTTATCATGATGGGTATCATAAATCAGCTTAAGTTAGAGTGTGAAGCCTAACAAGTTCTTATTTCACACTCACAATGCTTCTTCTGGTTCTTCAGGTGCAAGCCAAATGATACTTTTCAAAGCCAAGGTTTCCAAAAAAGGTAAATTGAGCAAATCGGGAGCGCCTGAACGATATAAGTTTTCTTCCACCATGCCAAAGTTTGGCGGAGGCACGAGCATGATGATGGATTAGCGATGGGAATGACCACCACTTGAGGAGGGTGAGGTGGTAAGAAGTGAAAGGATGTATGCTTCAGAGAAAAGTGATTTAGACGCCTGTTTTCGGACCGTGCGAGAGACGGAAAATAAATAAGACAACGCGACAATTTCAGTCATGCTCCTATTATCCGATAAAAGAGCCTAAAATCTAAAATAGCCGATAAGTTGCATTTATTGACAGCTTCCAGTACAACAATCATTATCACTCTCACTCAATCATGTCTGGCGCCAACTTTGCGCCATATCAACCTCCTCCAGATGAGAGGCAGAAGGCTTTGCTAGCCGAATCAAACACATCAAGATCCTCAGCTCCCTCTGTTCCTCATCAAGAAGGAGGAAGATCTTCAACTCAACAATCACAAACAGCAAATGGTGAAGCATCACGGATATACGACCCAACAACAGCTGCGACTAGAGCATCTATCGATACAGATTTCGATCCTAGATATGCTACAGAATCTTATCAATCATCTTCACCTTATACCCCAGCAAACGCAAACCAAGCAAGGCCTGCTTGGGCAACAGCCTCATCCGGAGTTGGAGGTGGCCCCGCATCGATTGAATCACAATATAGAAATCAACCAGCTTGGTCACAAAATGGTCAAATTGGCGGTGGGGCAGGACTAGGTCCAAGCAATGCTTCTAGACCTGATCATCTAAGTTATTCAACTTCACAAGGTTGGAATTTATCAAATCTATGCTTTGCTACTTGGGGTTTACCTCCGTTCACAAGTGTGCTATTACTAATATGGGAAACAGAAAATGATCTCGTACGCTTTCATGCTTACCAAGCAGGCTTGTTCGGCGTTGCAAACGTTCTACTGTTATGGATTTTACATTCTTGGTTTGGTTGGTATACCTTTAGCATTATCGTTGGAATGGCTTCATTGGGATATTCTTGGGTTTGTGGGTGAGTTCTTCTTGTACAATCAAGACTTTTATTTAGGATTGTAAGCTGACCAAATACTCGATCACACCGCTTTATCTAGTTCAAACGCAGCAAATGCGGCCCCGACATTAGCACGATCTCCGTTTCTCCCAGTGTTAGGCCCACTTGCTGAGCAATGGGTAGGCGAAGAATGATGATGATGCTGATAATATATGTATTTTTGATGTGACACCTCTAACTATCCTCTATGATGTGCTGATTCTGACAAATTTTTCCGGTGTGGTACCTCTGACGGTGCCTCCTGATGTGATTCCTTGGATGAGGGGCGGATGATGATCGCGGAAGGAAGATAGGATAATGACGGTGGAATGAGGAGAGGATGGTGAAGTGACTGTTGGTGGTCTCTTCTGATCCGCATTCAGAAGCCGCCTCTCATTCAATCGGTGTCATTCTCTTCCAGTTCAAGAAGGCAGTACTTGATCTTACCCCGCAATCATCATCCTCTTATCCTTCCGCCGTCATCATCCTCTTCCCATTTTACAATCATCACCCTCTTCTCACTCCGCAATCCTTCTCCTCTTCTTATTCCGCAACCATCCAATTCTCACTCCATAAGCCGCAACCATCATCCTCTTCTCATCCCACAATCAAAGTCTCCCTGACGTTCAACCTACGTTATCGTGATTGAGGAGTGAGAAGAGGATGATTACGGCAGATGGAGGAGAGGATATCAGAAAGGATGAGGAGAGGAAACACATCTCTTGATGCTTTGTCCGCCATTTGCATTTCCCTTTGAGACTGCAGACGGTTGAGAAGACGAAATGAGGTCAAGGTGGACTGCTCCGCAGACTCTATCGATGAGTTCTGTGTGGCAGCTTGTGTTAAGTCCTGTACTTCCTCGTTCTACTCTTCCTCCTTCTCCCCTTCCTCCCCACCTTCTGCCCTTCCTTCTTCTGCACCTCCTCCCCACCTTCTGCCCTTCCTTCTTCTGCACCTCCTCCTTCTTCATGAAGAGACTTTGACCGGCTTAATCGTCCTCACTTCAAAACATCCAACGATGACGAACTTTTTCGGTAATGTTGAACGGAAGTGAAGCCAAAGAGTGTGAGGTGAACACATGGAAAGGAGGGCAGAGGAAAGACAAATGATGATGTCAAGTGTACCATTTCTTCTGTTGTCCCACTTGCTCGAATGCCATGTCATGATTCGATCTTGAGTGACGTACGAGATGACTTTTCATGAATTTTGAAAGGTTTCATCCGATCGGAAAAAGAAGATCGTGGCTGATTCGGGCCCCAATCAGGCGTCTGTGCTTGTAGCCTCTTTTCATGAAGTGAAGTGGGTCGTGTTTGTGTTGATCGCCGCGATCAATGTTGTATGACGACTTGAAAAGAGAAGTTTGTGATGTTGATTGTACGATGGGTTGACCTCGGGTGACAAGAGAACGATGCCGGTTGAATGAGCTGTCATCCATGAATGCTTATGAGACGTGGATGATTGCGTTTGAATGGGGAGTGATTCTCGAATGACAAGAGATCGATGCCGCTTGAATGAGATGTGATCATCAAATGAGAAGTGGATGATGCCGTTGAAATGAGGAGCTCTTCTCCGAATGACGAATAATTGATGCCCTCTGAATGAGCTGTGATCCAGAAAGGAAAAGTGGATGATGGCGGTTGAGTGAGGACACGTATGAGATGGCGTTCATTGATCGTCAAAGAAGACTTTGATTGGTTAGGGTTGCGTGCCGGCATTTGCACTTGTGAGGCTCTTCTTGTGAAGTCAAGTGATGCCATGTTGGATTGAGTGCCACAATCATTGTCTTGTGAGAAATTAGCGATGCTGACTGAACGACAAGTGGGTCTTGAATGATAAGCGGGTCTTGAATGACAAGTGAATCTTGAATGTCAAGTGGATGACGATTGGAATGAGAAGTGGATGAAGATTGCGGGATAAAAAGTGGATGTTGGTTGCGGGATGAGAAGTGGATGATGATTGCGGGATGAGAAGTGGATGATGATTGCGGGATGAGAAGTGGATGATGATTGCGGGATGAGAAGTGAGTGTTGGCGGTAGATATATTATGGAATGAGAAGTTGGTAAAGCTGGTTGGATATGAAGTAATTCTCAAATGAGAAGTAGGTCATCTTTTTCTTTTTTTTTTCTTTTCTTTGACCTTTTTATTTTTTTTATTTTTTATCTTTTATCTTTTATCTTTTATCTTTTATTTTTTTTTTATCTTTTATCTTTTAATTTTTATCTTCTTTTTTTATGCAGTTGTAAAGCGAAATGTTGCTTCGGGATGTGTGAGAGGAGGAGTGAGAGGAGGAGTGAGAGTAGCAAAGAACGAGTTTTTTGATCCCACGAAAGGATAACGCAAGGATGAGAGAGCAAGTGTCGCACAAGATGTTGCAAGAATGATCATGTCGCCTTCTTGATTGGTGACCAAGTATAGCCCTCTTGACCATGAAAGCTGTTTGTGAGCTGAATTTTGGAACCGTTGCGTAAATTGATCATGCAAAAAATTGGGAATGCTGACAAAAATGAAACATGATGCTGCTGTGACGGTGGGTGTCGGAAGAATTGAATGATGGCGATGACAAGTGCACCCTTTCGGCTGATGCGCTCGAATTTTGATCTTGCGTGCATCGGCAAAGGGAAAAGCGATGCATTCAATTGCTCTCCTTGATCTTCCAAAGATTTTCTCGAATCTTCCGGGGAGATATTCGGTTGATTTGGATCCCATTCAGTCGTTTGTATTTGTGAGCTCTTTTCATAAAGTGATGCCGGTCGTGCCTGCGTTGATTGCCGCGATCAATGTTGTGTGACAATTTGAAAAGAGATATCCGTGATACTGATTGTACGATAGTTGGATCTCGATGGACAAGAGAATGATGCCGGTTGAATGAGCGGTGATCCACAAACGAGGAGTGAATGATGCCGGTTGAGCGAAGACACGTATGAGATGGTGTTCATTGGACTTTCAAGGATTTTTCCGAAGCGTCAAAGAAGACCTTGGCGTTTGCACCTGTGGGGCTTTTCTTGTGAAGTGAAGTAATGCCATGTTTGTTTGCATTCGAGTGCCACAATCATTGTTTTGTGAGAAATTTGTGATGCTGAATGGATGACAAGTTGATCTTGAATGACAAGGGGATCTTGAATGAGAAGTGGGTTTGGAATGAGAAGTGGGCTTGGAATGAGAAGTGGATCTGGAATGAGAAGTGAGTCTTGAATGACAAGTGGATGATGATTGGAATGAGATGTGGGTGTTGGGGGTTGGATTCAATCAAAAAAGGGGACTTTATATACCTTTCATTCATTCGTTTCGCACTTTTCAGAATTCGTATTATTTTCCCTATACTGTCAAGTATGTCAAAATCGAATCTGACAGGTCAACTGAGATGCATGTTATAGAAAAAGATAAGACCATCCATTCGCTAGCATGATTTACAGTTCTAGGCTTTCCTTGGACCATCCGATGGAATTAAGATATCCCGTTCTTCCGGCTTCCCGGCAAATTATGCTTGGCAGCCTTAATATGTTTGATATATTGCATCGCTGCTGTTTTATGTTTGACCATCTTGAGTTTTTGTCAACCATCCGATGGATCTGAAATAACCCGTTTTTCTGGCTTTCAGCCGAATATTTCTTTGTCGGATCATCTGCAGCTGCTATTTATAATTTTCACTAATCATCTGATGGATCTGAGATATCACGCTTCTTTGACGTTTGCATAATGGCTTGCTTGATAGCTTGGATTTATCTGCACAATCTGCAGCCGTAATCCTCAGTTCTTTCTGCTGACCATCCGATGGTTTTGAGATATCCCGCTTTGCTGGCTTTCAAACGAATACTTTTTGACCAATCATCTGCAGCTACTATTTATGACTCTTACCAACGATTCGATGTTTCTGACAATTCTGGCCTTTCTTGGCTTTTGAGCGAACACTTCTTTGACAAATAATCTACAGCTGCGATCTGTAATTCTTACTGACCATCTAGCGGATCTGACATATCCCGCTTTTCCGGCTTCTCGGTAAGTGCTTTCTTTGCAGCTTTGATAAGTTTGCTGCACTCTGCTCTCTTGTCCGTCTTTTGAGACCTCTGCGGCACCATTCTGCTCTGCTGGTATGAGTGAAGGTGTCAAACCTTTAGATGGTGAAAGTTTTGTGTATGCACCTATCGTTATTGACATGGCCAGTCAAATGACCCATCGATGCATGTGTAACGGGAGCAGCAGGTATGATGTGACATGCTTTTTTTGAATGGGCTATTCAAATTCAAGTCTTTTCTCATCATGGTCATCCAAAAGGATAAGTAATCAAATTGGCTGACAATGGATGTATGCTACCCTACGCACGCACGCACGCCTACGTATACTCCATATTAGCGTGACTTTATGCAAGAAGAAAGTCACTAAAAAAATGAAATGTTCTGCTTGACTCTTTCCTTCATCATTGGACTCACGCAGGAGTGCAAAAGTGATGGACATAAGCATGTCCATCTATTGATCAAAATTGTACTTTCATCTGCCGCTCACACTTCACATGTATCGGTGAACCCTTTGGCTGGGAAACAACTACACCGATTCTCAAATCAAATCTCGGCGAAACTAATTCACCATCCAAAGCTCCAACTCATTCACCACCACCTGCAAAGCGGAACGTCGCTGCAGAAGTTTCAATGGATAAGAGAGCCGAGTCAAGTGATCATATCTGAGAAATGGAGAGAGTAATTGCCGAAAATCTAGAAAAGCGGGGTATGTCAGAACCATCGGATGGTTGGTAAGAGTTATAAATAGCAGCTGCAGATGCTTTGTCAAAGAAGTGCTCGTTTGAAAGCCCGAAAAGTGGGATATCTCAAAACCATCGGATGGTTAGCAGAGATACTTGAGGATTGCGGCTGCAGATTGTGCAGGTAGATCGAAGCTATAGAGAAAGCCATTGTGCAAACGTCAACAAAGCGTGACATCTCAGATCCATCTGATGGTTGATAAGAACTCAAGCTGGTCAAACATAAAGCAGCAGCGATGCAATATATCAGACATGTTAAGGCTGCCAAGCATCAATTGCCGGGAAGCCGAAAGAACGGGATATTTATTCCATCGGATGGTCCAACGAAAGCCTAGAACTGTGAATCATGCTAGCAATTGGATGGTCTTTTTGTTCATGTAACATGCATGTGGATTATGGTAAGTTAACCTGTCTGTCAGATTCGATTTTGACATACTTAACAGTCTAGGGAAAATCATCTGAATTCTGAAAACTGTGAAGAGAGGTCTGTCTTTTGTATAAATACTCGAATTCCCTTTTCAAATTCATCCCAGAACCACCACCCACTTCCACACGCTCTCCCTTCGCAAAAAGGCGCCCATCTG